TCAGTGCAATATTGCAACGTCGTACAGTATTACCAGCAAGGGAGAACGCAGTTTGTTATTATAAACTTTTTTTTTCTCTTTCTTTCTTTCTTTTTGTGAGTATTGCAACATTTTTTTTTTCTTTCACTTTAAGATATTCGATTTTATTGTCTGTTTTATTTCTGTTAATACAGTCTATGGAAAAATGTAATCCTTCGATGGCTCCCTCTTCTTCACCCTTTCCCTCGCCCTCTCCCTCTCCCTCTCCTTCTCCTTTGCCCTCTCCCTCACCATCTCCCTCTCCCTCTCCCTCACCATCTCCCTCTCCCTCACCATCTCCCTCTCCTTCTCCATCTCCATCTCCATCTCCATCTCCCTCTCCTTCTCCTTTGCCCTCTCCCTCCCTCTCCCTCACCATCTCCCTCTCCATCTCCCTCTCCATCTCCCTCTCCTTCTCCTTTGCCCACTCCCTCTCCCTCATCCTCTCTCCCTCTCTCTCAATCTCCCCTCCCATCTGGGCTTAATTGCGTTTAGGTTTTTTTTTATACGCGCACCAATCTCATTTCACTTATCTCATCTCATCAACCTCATATCTCCAATCTTATCTTACCAATCTCATCTCACCAGTCTCACCTCACCGATTTCATCTCACCCAATCTCACCTCACCAGTTTCAGATCAATTTCATCTCTCCAATTTCACATTACAAATCTCACTTCTCCAATCTCACCTCACCAATCTCGTTCCAGCAATTTCATCTCAGCAATCTTACATCACTAATATCATCTCCCCAATCTCACTCCACCAATCTCGCCTGTCCAATCTCATCTCCCCAATCTCACCTCACTAATCTCATCTCACCAATCTCCCTTCACGAGAAAACCACCCGGGCGCAGCTTCCCCGTGCATCTCCATTGCAGACCAGGACCCTGTCAACTTCAACACCCACACCTGCCTCTCTCGACAATCACTCCAACCGATGCTTTCAGCTTGCAGCTTGCTTGCAGCTTGCTTGCAGCTTGCGTGCAATGTCGGACTCCCATATGCCTCGTGTTATACTGATTGGCTTTTGTTTCTGAAAGGGGCCGGACGCTGAGATTACTCCTTTTGTAAACTTTGGAAAATGTTTGTGTTAGGTTTAAGGGTCGGTGTGACTGTGCAGTTGCAGAGGTCAAGGGAGTTAGATTTTTAATGCTTCTTGTGGGTCGTGAGGAGGTGTTGCTTAAGTGGTGTTTGAAAAAGGGGAGGGAGGGGTGGAGAGGAGGGAAGAGGTTACTGTAGGTGATTCTCATTCACTCACCCACTCACTCAAACGCTCACTCACACGTGTTAGTGCGTGTCTTTGTTATTCTCTCTTTTTGTCATTGCTTCTTTCACTTTTCGTTTCTTTTTAATCCATCTATCACAAAAATCATGTACATGTCTCACCTTACATTTTTCCCCATTTCTCGTATATATCATTTTATCCATTTCTCGTAAATATAATTTTATCCATTTCTCGTATATATCATTTTATCCATTTCTCGTCTATCCTTTCATCCATTTCTCATATACATCCTCCACCTGTCCATGCAACACCCGAATTCAAACAATGCAACACCCCCAGCGCCTTCAACTTGTGCAACGAACGACCCCGGCCTGTTAGATTTATTAGTGGGTCGTGACCCTAACGACTGCGACTAAGACTTGAAGGTAACGAATGACCTGGCTTCAGTTTGGTTAAGGTCACTCGTCTATCGTCGGGGTCTATTGTAGGGGAGACTGAAGGGAAGGGGATGAGAAAGAGAGAGGGTGAGTGGGAGGAAGGAAGGAAGGAGGGAGGAGGGGGGAAAGAGGGAGGGAGGGAAGGAAGGAAAGAGGGAGGGAGGGAGGGAGGGAGGGAAGGAAAGAGGGAGGGAGGGAGGGAGGGAGGGAAGGAAAGAGGGAGGGAGGGAGGGAGGGAAGGAATAAAAGAGGGAGGGAGGAAATTAAAGAGGGAGGGAGAGAGGGAAGGAAAGAGGGAAAGAGGGAGGGAGGGAAGGGCAAAGGGAGGAGAGGAGAGGAAAAGGAAAGGGCAAAGATAGAGGAATGGGGGGAGAGGGGGAAGGAGAGGGAGAGGGAGGGAAGGAGGGAGAGACAGGGGTGGAGGGCGTGTGTATACAAAATGAATTAATGATTTAAATAATTTCCTACTTTTCACTGGTAATTTCTTCAGCTAATTCTCAAAAAAAAAAAAAAAAAAAAAAAAAAAAAAAAAATCACACACACACACGCATATAAATGTGTGAATATATGTATGTATATATATTTATTTAAGCATTTATTTATATGTTTATTTATTTATTTATTTATTTATTTATTTATTTATTTACCCACTCCAAATTACCCAGGAAGTCCATTTTATGTAACTTTGCTCCAAGCACTTACCGGAAGCACCACTTAGGAATATTAGACCTACGCTTATTAGCTGGAACTTAGGTGGTGAAGCCAAGGGGGAGGAGGGGAATGGGGGGGAGGGGTAGAGGCAACGTATTTTTTTTTTC